GTTATTGTGCTTGCCACATAAAAGCAAACCGTTGAAAATTGTTGAAATCGGACTAAAATTGAGGCCGCTTTTCATATAACGGTAAATTTCAGATATGCTTGAAATTTCAATATTTCGAAATTTAAGGACGCTAATTTACTTAAAATGTATACACCCCGGCTTATCATGTAGCGGTAGCTTTCGGAAAGGTGGAAAACATATATTTAATACTTGCGCCGGGTATTTAATGTTCGGCTCCGCCCGAACTTAGACTTTCTTACTTGTTATAAATTCATTTATGTATACCTTACTATAAGCCAAACCAAATTTCAAGTTCTTGGGACTTATATTTCCGAAGTTATAGCTGATAAAAAGGTTCACGCCTGTGGGGTGTGCCACGCCCCTTTTTACAAACTCATGTATATATGTATATATCGTCATACCTTTACTCGCATTACTATGTAGTTCCGTGTGCTCAGTTGTAGGTTCCTTAAAATAGTTGGTTTTCGGGTTTGATACTGCTTCGTGTATTGTGTTCGCACAATTGTCGTTTTTCCGTTGGGCCGTTATGTACATCTTCATGTCCAATGGTGATAATTCTGAAATAGGCACATACATAAGTTTTTAAAAAACCAAAAGGAAGTTAACGTCTACTGTATTGATAACGGCAAACCTGATATATATATACATTGGGAAACGTACAAACTGTGCCTCAGAGGGTGTGGATAGCAAAAGATCCCGATACCGTATATATGTCTGCATACAAAATTTCAATTTCATTTGCCTTATAGTTTTGAAGTTATAGCTGATAAAAATTTCCACGCCTATGGGATGAGCCACGCCCCCTTTTGCCAACTCATTTATATATACCTTACCATAAGCACCTGCCATAGATACGTCTGCGTATCAAATTTCAATTTCATGTGACTTATGGTTTTGAATTTATAGCTGATAAAATTTCCATGAATATGGGATGTGCCACGCCCTTTTTATAAACTCATGTATATACATATAGCTATAATACTATAAGCACCTACCATAGATATGCCTGCACACCAAATTTCAATTTTATGTGACTTATGGTTTTGAAGTTATAGCTGATGAAATTTCGACGCCTATGGGATGGGCCACGCCCCATTTACAAAGCCATTTATATATACCTTACTATAAGCACCTACCATAGATATGCCTGCACACCAAATTTCAATTTCATGTGACTTATGGTTTTGAAGTTATAGCTGATAAAATTTCCACGAATATGGGATGTGCCACGCCCCATTTACAAAGCCATTTATATATACCTTACTATGACCACCTACCATAGATATGTTGGCATACTAAATTTCAAGTTCATGTGGCTTATGGTTCCGAAGTTATAGCAGATAAAAAATTTCAGGCCTATGGGATGTACCACGCCCCCTTTTACAAACTCGTTTATATATACCTGCCTATAAGCATCTACCATTGACATGTCTGCATACCAAGTTTCAAGTTCATGTGACTTATGGTCTGGAAGTTATGGCTGATTAAAAATTTCATGCCTATGGGAGGTGCCACGCCCCCTTATCGGATCCCAATTTTTTCACCCTATTATAGGCCCAGGTGTCATGGCGATACTCTGTCAAAGTTTTGTTCGATTCTGTCCGTCCGTTTAGACTGCAACCTGGCACATACACATACATACATACGTACTTCCACAAATATATAGTAGATATGAGTAGTCCACTTGCAAAGTGCGCTATGTAAAATTTTTTCGATTTTTAGTTTTTGGTGGATTACGTACCTGTATTTAAAGTAGTTTCATGTCCACTAACAACACAGTGCAAAATCTTTTTATATTCTGAAAAAATAGCACCAAATGTTAACTCTTCTTCCAAAAGTCGCTATCATACTTATTTATCTATATTCTGATGAACTTAGAAAAATGTTTTAGGTCGTATAGACTGTTAATGTTATCTTGCGTCATGTTATGTTATAATTTTATAAGGCTCTTATTTTTTCAAAATTTTCAGGTAATAAAAAATAAAAAAGATTCAATTTAAATATTACTTGTTGTCGTAGTCGTTTTTTCAAATTTATGGCTTTCTATTATAAAATCACATAACGCTGTTTTCAAGTGGACTACTCATATCTATCCTTCTTTTTAATAATTTTTGGGGATATCTCGGCCACAGGGCCAGAATCCATTCTAGCGCGCCAAGAGTCTGCTTGAGACAACCATATGTAATTTAGGGCCGCGGAACTCATTTTTGATATATATTTTTATGTTAGAGTAATTTTAAAGGCCGAGGTCGCCCCTCGGCAGCCGATAGCAAACCTCCGAGTATATGAAAAACAGCTGCTCTTAAAAATACAATCGCCGTTAGGAGTAGGCGTAAAACTGTAGGTCCGTGGCTTTTGTGTGACAACATCAAGGCGCATGCCACAAATCGGAGGAGAAGCTCGGTCAAGCACTAAGGTTAGCAGAGCGCGCTACCATTCCGCAGGACCTTGGTTCAAGCCTGGTTCAACTCAACATCAAAAAATAAAAAACAAAAAAGCTTTTTTTTATAATAGCGGTCGACCCCCGATTTTCAGTCGCCGTTCGGCGTGGGCGTAGGTGCCTCCCCTTTGTGTGACAACATCAAAGGTCACGCCACAAATCGAAGAAGCTGGGACAAACATTAACATACATATTTTTGTAAGCGCCAATTATTATTATTAATTTTGATGGTTTGGGGGTCGTTCTCGAAATGTGTTCTACTACAGGAAATTCAAATTCAAAGCGTAGCTATTCAGCATTCATTTTTAAACTGTATAAGACTGGAAGCAAATGACCTAGTTAAAAATATCCGATTAAGGTTGAACGCAGTGTGTATTTAATAACAATGTTTCAGGCGTTAAGAGTATTCGAAAGAGGAATAAGCAGTTGAGCAGATACTCCTTTCAAAACTTAAAGCAATATTCCTGTCAATATAAATGCAAACTTAAATTACACTGTATATGGGGTATTTACAACGATGTCGTTAGTATATTTTTATCCGTTTAAAGTTTACGACAAAGAACAATACGACACATATGACACCGTTGTGAATACCCCAATCAAGTAGAAGAAGAATAATCGGACATGTTCTGCAATCGTACGATTTCAAATCGGTCTAATTTGCAAAATATTTTTTGTAAATTTGTAATCAAGGATAAAATTTTGCAACGGGAAACTGCTAGAAACCCATCATTTACGTTATATCCATCGAATTAGTGCCAATTTTTCGCTCTTTGTTATAAATCCTCCGAACAGATTTTGTAAATCGTACGATTTGCAGAATATGCCTGAATGATTTTTTAGATAAATAGAAGCGCCCAATCCAAAAGCAAATGTACATCGAGCCGCATTTTTACTGTTCAAGTAGTAATCTTTGGATCGTTTGTACCACTTTTTACATGGAAAAGCTAAGCAAAAAACCATTAAGAATTAAATATACAGTAAATATGCTCTTCGCCTAATTCAGACTTTTCTCACTTAGGCATGCTGTGCTTCCATATAGTTTTTTTTATACTCCTAATATTTACTATAAATGTGTGTTGTGTTGCTGTGTTAATCCTTGCGGTGCTGTTTACTTTGCGTCTTTTGTTTGTTTATGTTTTCCTATATTCTTTTTGTTCCTATTTTATTGATAATTTTACTCCATCTATTATTTTGCAGCTAATACTGCTTGTTAGATGGTGTTTTCTTAGCACCCTTTGTATTCGTTATTGAATGTTCAATGCACGTAGCAAAGGTTATTGAAATCCATTTGCACACATCACACCAATCGATTTTAAGTATGAAAAGTTGAAGAAGCTTCATCGGATGTGTATGTTTATATTAGGGTGTTCGATTGATTGGCTTTTTTCCAAAACCTGGTTTCGATTTATTCCAAAACCAACCTTCGAGTTAAAAGCCAATTTTAAAAAGTCCGTTATTAATTTTTAAATTTAGAAAAAGCGGTTAGCCCGGATATTTGCTTTTAATTTTGTATAATGCTTACAGTTAGTCAGCTATGGAAGCCAAGAACTGAATTAAATTATTAAAATTACTCACGGCTGTTATTTAAAAGACATTCAAATGGAATACGTTCAAAGTTACTCAAATAGTAACTCAAACATTAGATCTAATATATATCCTAAAAAGTTCTCGGATCAACTTATTTTTTTCCTTAGTTATTAAAAACCTCAACTTTATCTTTTTATAAGAATTTTCTAAAATTTATATTTCAATCAATTACCTACTGAAGTATCTCCGGGTTTCTTATACTTTTTTAAGGAAGTAATTTCATGAATCAAATCTTCACTGGAATCACATGTGGTAGAATATAAATAAACTTTTTTATAGCAACCTTTTGGCTACAGTGTTTTAATAAACTTGTTTAAAAAGTGTTCATTTAACAATACTAAGTGAATATGGCATTAAGACAAAAAGAAAATCGAAATTAAGAAAAAAGTCATTTGGTAAATTTTAAATAAACGCATGTATAATAAATTTAGTGCGGTTTTCTCATGTAGGTTTTAGCTGTCCTTTAAACACATTTCTTCAGAAAATAATGTGTTTAAAGGGCAGATGAATTTTTAAACCTACTTGAGAAAACGGGCCTTATATAAATTTTCTAAATGAAACCCCCGGTTTATTTAATAACAATACTCAGGTTTATTCCATATACGAAAAATCACGATTCAAAAAACCTCCCAAAAATGTTGGGCAAACCGGCTGAAACCAGTTTGGAAAAACCCAATCAATCTCCCTAGTGTATATGTATATATACATACATATGTACATATGTACACATGGATTTATTCATGCATGTATGTATGTGCATTAGAGCGGAGTAATTTTATTTCGAAAAAATGTATGGCATATTCGAATTCTACGTTCGATTCTAAGCAAAAATGGCGAACAAACTGTATACCAAAAACTAAGTTTGACCCTCCCAATTTTTAAAAGAAAAATCTGTGTATTATAATTTTTTCTGAATGAAATTAATTTTTCATTTACATAATTTTATGGTTTCTTCATATTTAAGAAAGACTTCACAAAACCTAGGAAATAAAAAATTGTGTTTTTATGTCATTATTTGGTACAATGAAAATTAAATTTCGACCAAAAAAGTTACAATATAGTGCTTTAACAATTAGTAGGTTCAAACGTAATTTTTTTACACTTTCTTCGAAAATTTCGCCCCGAACAAATTACTTCACCCTTATGTGCATGCATAAGTTTAGTTTGGCTAACACACCTGCAGCGCATAAACCATGCCACAGAAGCCCAAGCACGTACATATGTATATATTTACACTTACATGCACAAATATATACATACCCTGCAGTAAATGCCGCTAGTTTGTAGCTTACTTTTTGGTTCCCAAAAATCTGCAGGATGTAACTTTTTAATTCGATATTTTCTTCATCCGGAACTAACTACTTTTTAAGGGCGATGGCCAGAAAAAGGTGAGAACTGGCTTCCTCTGAAAAGGGTGGCAACTGACCAAAAAATTACTTTTTTTGAACATTTTACATGTATATTAATTTTTTTTTACTGAAGACTACATATTTGTTTACGTATTGTGCTGTACGTGGTCCAATCAAAATGATAAAATAAAATTTCGATTAACACTTTATATGATCTAAATTCGGAAAAGCATCTATGAATTGCAAAAAAGGTGTAGTCAAAGTAATTTTGTATGAGGATATTTAAATATAAACTTATTGAAAGAGAACGAACTCCTGCATGACTTTACAACTCACTTATAGTTAGTTTTGTCATATGTAATTAAAAGTGAGTTATTTATCGAAGTCTCGCAAAAAATCTTAACACCAGATTTGGTTATTTTTATCATTTGATAGGTACATGCATATGCACATGTGCATATGTTTTTATTCAAAAGTAGTTAATTAAAAGTTAGTTGACATTTAATGCAGAGATATTCAGGCCTGACTGGTATGAAAAAGATTAATGTATTAATTTTTGATATTTAATGTAAATGAAAATTTCAATGCATTAATTCCGAAGAAATAATGCTAATGACTTTTTTTTGTATTAACATTAAAATGTTTAAATGAATGCTATTGCAATAATTTATTGCATTAACATTATAACAAGCATTAAAAACCCATTAACTAATTATATTTTGAAGTAAAAATTCTTTGCTGACGTTGAGGGTAGAATTTCAAGGCCAAAAATGATAGTGACGGACGTTAAGGCTGGTTTTCACTATGTCAAGTTCAATGACATTTGTCGTTAAATAGGTAAAATCACATTGTCAAATGGAACTAAAAAACGGTTTATTTATTGATTCAAATCAGAGTAGGTCCTCAGTCGTGTACATGCGCTGCTAAACTGGCTATCTGTCCGTTTTTGGCTCATATTTAATATATGTAATCGGTATGCATCAACAATCAACATAAAAATCTATAAAAGCACTCTGCGTTGCATGCACAGTAGCTTTCATTTTCATAAAACATCTAACAATGTTTAGAAGAATTTTTCTACAAATAAGCATAATATAATGAAGCTGAAAAAACTAGTAGTATTAATTCCAAGTACTTCCAAAAGAGGTTATTTATATTTTACTAGAAAAAAATTTAATGGTTTTTAATAATGCAAACGAGCAAAAAAATTAAACATTTTAGTACATTAAAATTTTTTCATTAGCATTAGCTTGGATAATTTAATGAAAAAAAAAATTTCACTAGCATTACATTTTGCAGAATTAATGCATTGAAATATTCATTTGTACTAAATTTCATAAATTAATGCATTAATTTTTTACATTAACATTATTGCTTTAAATACCATTAATGCATTAAAAAATTAATGCTTTTTTCACAACTCTGCTTTCAAGTTAGCTTCATTTCCTGCAGGGTAATTATAATCATATGTACGCAGCATGACGAAAAAATGCGAGTGGTGCTTGCACGCCACATAAGTTCACGCGAGACTCAACAGATTTAACGCGACAACAGAGAAGCACATGCCGAAAGCCAGAAATCTTAGTCCTGCGGTGTCGCGAGCACACCTCTGCAGCTTCTCTGGTCTCTCACTGGATGCTGCATCATTCTTAGCTTCAATAGTAATCAGTAGCCAAAGAAAATCGACAAGAAAGGCAGCAACACGAGCGTCTTGTTGGTTTTCGTTGAGTGCCAAATAATGCGCCAAAAGTGAAAGAAAAATGTGTAGAAAAACAAAACAAACGAAAGAAAAAAGTCAAACAAAAACATGAAGAAACAATAAAAGATTAACGCTGGTGTGGAAAGGGGCGAGTGCCGCTTGCGGCAAGGCAAAACCGATGCATACCCTGCCCATCTGACAGTTTCGCCTAACATCTGAAGAAACTAGTTGCCATCAGAACGTGTGGGCGGGTGTGCGTGTATGGAACAGTGTGCTTCATAGTAAAATTAGTCACGAACGTAAACCCGCTGGAACGTAAAACCTTGCCAGCTGACACGACTTATCTTACCAGAGCGCCATGTAAATGAAAACTCAGTAACGCAGAATTTGTCTGTATTTAGTTGTAGCCTGTGGTGCAGAAATTTGCGTCAAGTAGATTTTTTCTGTGCCTTCAATGCTATGGTTGCTAATTTATAATTTTTGCAGTTCGTAAAATAAAATTGCTAAGACTAGAAAATATTTAAAATTATTCAAAATTGCAAGTAAAATATGGTTAATTATTGAAAAATTAATTGTTCACATTTCGTTACATTACTTTCCGATGGCCTAAGAAATGGTAAGCCCCACAAAAAAACGCACCAGTGTAGTAAACCTGGTGTTTAAGCGCAGAAGATAAGGGGACAATCTTAACTTTGAGTGACGAAAATTTGTCTAGCATGCAAAGTGCTCAGAAAATTTGTTATAATCAAAGTTGAGTATGCCGTTTTTTTTTTTAATATTTGAACTCAAGGGATCTTCAAAAAGAAAAAAGGTGCGAGGAGCCAGAAAATGCACTGAGCGCGAAGATCGGATTTTGGAACGTGTGTGTTTAGAGGACAGATTCCAAACTTAGCGGAAATTCAGAAGAAACCTAGAAGATACGCAGCCGATACAAATAGCCACACGCACCACATAGCTACAGCTTAACCAATTGAGTTCACATGCTCGCAGACCTGCGAAAAACCCTTTTAATGAAGAAAAAAAGCCTTTCCATCAATTATGAACTGCATATGACTAGGAAAAGGTAATTTTTTTCAGATAAACAAAAATTTAATTTGATTTTGTCCGACAATGGAAAGTAATTTTTTATTCCATTGGTCACAGTCCATAGAAAATGAAAATTTGTGAAAAACTTCTGCGTTTAAATATGTATAAATTTTGCGTTTTGGACTAATTTCACTATGAAGTAGCGTGCTAATACATCAGCGGAAATCCTTTAACTTGTATCGTGCTTTTGTTTTTGTTTTCAAATGTTTATTTGTTTTTGGGTTTGCCTTTTATTTTTCACATATTGAATTTGTGCTTTCTACGCTGCTTTCAACTAGATAGTTGATCCGGTTATGCTTTCAAGTTATATATTAAGAAAGCTTTCTTGCCAAATAAGGAACTTCACAGGCAAGCTTGAAGGTACGCGAGCATGACGACGTGTGGTGCGCTCCCGTCTTCCCGCAAGGATACACACGTTTGGTGGTGGTGCTCACATAAATTAGTAAAATGCCTTATAATCCTGTAAATGGACAGGATACACGTTGCCATTTGTTTGCACACACACATGCACGCGCTCAGATACCCTGCAGATAAACCGCGGACTAGTCAATCAAATGTCTAGTTCCGTACTAGATCTTCATCGCCAAAAACGAACCAGTCCGAGAGTAACTAGATCCCCTCCAGTCCAAAATCAGCAGAATTTGGTGTTTTAAAAAAATATCTATTTTATTTCACTTTTTCCATTAGAAATCTATATCCATAGCTGCCAACTTGGTGCTTTAAGTACTAGATTTAGTGCTTTTTGAAAATTAAAACGCCAAAGAAAAATATTTAGTGCTTAGTGCCTTTTTTAGTGCTTTTTTTCTGAACTAAAATTGCTCCGATATAGTTAAAACCTGAAATAATTTTTAAATATTTAAAGCTGTGACAGCACTGAATTTACAAAAATCTACAAATTTAAATGCACTTAAATACAACCATGATTGATAAAAAGCTGAACTTGCAAATTCACTTTCTTCAATTCTATTCGCGTTGAAAATGCTAGTAGATATGCGAGTAAGTTAAGTATTTAGTTTTTTCTGTTCTAATTATTTGTAAAAATTTTTATTTTTGTACCACCTGTGTAAAACACATCGTTTCTTGGTGCTGAATCCAAATCTGGCCGCACAATTGCTCTAGCACTAGAATTTTGAGATATCCTAACCACAAAGTGCCAAAATCACGGTTTTTGGCGATATTTGAGGTTATATAATGAAAACAAACATTTTTTTTTTGCTCATTTCTACTTAGGGCATGATTTTCGTTTGTTCGGATTCGATTTTTATTTCTTGAGATATATCAGTTTTAATGTGCAGTACTTCGGTATTACGTCGTAAGCATGAGTCATTATAGCATAGCATGTGGCTTTTCAATCGTTATGGGCGAAAAAGTTTTGTTTATTGATTTATGTATGCATTCTTGTAAATATTGTTAATCTTTTTTGTTAAATACATACAAACTGTTATGAAAAAAGCATCAATTTATTCAAAACAATTTGGTGCTTTANAAAAGTTTTGTTTATTGATTTATGTATGCATTCTTGTAAATATTGTTAATCTTTTTTGTTAAATACATACAAACTGTTATGAAAAAAGCATCAATTTATTCAAAACAATTTGGTGCTTTAAGTGTGGTAAAACGCTTTTTTCCAAGTTTTTGGTGCTTTTTGAAAATCAAAAGTTGGCATCACTGTCTATATCTAAGGTGACGAATTTAGAACTGGGTTAGAACTTTACATAGATATGTGGGATGCAGCGGAGGGCGATTGACACTTCCTAGGACATTGGTGTACTGGGTATAAATGTGCTAGTAGTGCACCTGTTCAGAACTAGAGATTTTACCCACAGGGTATTTATCTCGTTCACATACACATATGTACATGCACATGTATTGTATTGGTCTGAACGTGCGTGCATGCGTGAGAGCTTTGTAGAAATCTTTTTCTCGCCTTGTTAGATTGAAATAAAGTAGAAAATTAAATAAACACGCTGCTTACGTATGCTCCGGCAGAGATAATATTATTAGCGCAAATCAAACAGTACAACCGAAGCAACAACATTGGCAGTGTGAACGAAAAGTTTACATATGTATGTATGTCTATATACATATGTATATATTTTTGTGTAGTACATATGTGAGTGCACAAATAAATGCAACAAGTAAGGCCGTGCTGCCTTCGGCTATCCCGAAGGCTTCATACATACCTTTCATGAACATAAATAACGTAAATTTTAATCCATTATTGCATTTTTAATTACACTAGAGTGCCAGTTACTGTCGAAATTCGACAGTTTTTCTAGTTTTAGAAGCCTTGGAGAGGTTTTCTAACTTAACACGTATGTAGCAAAACTTATACGGTACAAATTAACAAACCGGAAAATCTCCTGCTAAAACGTAACTAAATTTTTTTTTATCTGAGAANCAATGATTTGATACATTTCGATAGTTCGATGAATTTCAAGAACACTAAAATTCGATAACTCAACAAAATTCGTTAACTCGACCAATTTCGATAACTGTGAAATTCTATGGCTCGATAAATTTAGATAACTGAAAAATGTAAAAACTTTGGATAACTTTATAAATTTTTAGTTTTGACATCTCCACATTTTTCTAAAACTATCTAAACATTTTGATAACTCGTTACACTCTGTTAAGACGATTAAATTCGATAAGCAGTGATAAATCGATAAGCTTATATAACCTTGAAATTTCGATAAATCGATATATTTTGAAAATTCCATAACCTTCGCTTCGTTGAACCAACCAATTTCAGTATATCAATAATTATCGATAACTCTGTAAGTTGAAAGAACTCCATGCATTACGATACCTCGATAAATTTCGTTAAGTCTATAAATAATGATAATTCAATAAATATCGATAACTTGATACATTTCTTTAACTTGACAAATTTCGTTAATCCCACACGTTTTATATAGCTCGATAACTATCTGTAAATTTGGACAACTAAGTTTCTGTGTCTATAAATTTCGACAACTCAATAAACATCGATCAGTTTGAATAATTCGATACGTTGCGATAACTTAATACGCATAGATAAATTTCGGTAATTATAAACTTCGACGATTCGATAAATTTCAGTAACCTTTATGGCTGATTTTATTTCGATTCCTATCGGAAAATTTCAACAATTTTAACCTACTTCTTATGTATTTCTCATTGTCTCCATTTTCGCCTTTATCTCAATTTTCGTCTTTATCTTCACTTTTGCCTTTTTTGTGTCTTTATCGTTATCACTTGTTTCTTCATCTTCATATTTATCTTTATTTCAAAGTTTAATTTCATAAACGAAGTAAAACAAAATGCGAAACAGCTTAAATTGAACAGGTTGCAAAAACAACCATACACAAATATGGAAATTTTTAAACGACGATTTTCAACCAATTTCGAAACTATAAAAACTCTCCTCAACTACAGAAAATTACCTTTCCAACGGTGTTTTTGGTTTTGAAATCGGTAACTTTACCTTGGTCTTCATCTTTGTTTTTATCTTTCACATCTTTGCTTTTATCGTTTTCTTTTTCTACTCACGTATATGAGATAAGGTGCGATGACGTGATAAGATGTGACGTGATTTTATGTGATGTGATACGATGTCATGTCATGTGTTGTCATATCCTCTGATGTCAAGTCATATGATGTCATACCATATGATGTCATATCATGTGATGCCACGTCTTGTAATGCCATGTCGTGTCATACGATGTCATATCATGTGATGTCGAGTCATGTGATATTATGCCATATAATGTGATGTCATATCATATAATATCATTTCACGTAATATCGTGTGATGTGATATCATATTATGTGATGTAATATCATGTGATGTCTCTTCATATCATGTGATAAAATGTGATGTGATGTCATATAATGTGATCACATTCCATGTTCCGATTAGTGTATCGATAACCCTGTTGATAACTGTGTGGATAAAAATACCGATAACAATATCCATAAACATATAGAAAAATACAACGGTTGTAAAATCGATTAATTCATCGATAAATATAACAATCATCAGTATCGATTATTATACATATCGTTAACAATATAAATGACTAAATCGATAACAAAATTAATTATTTAATCGATATCCATTATTGTATCGATAACAATATCGATTATTATATTGATTATTATATCGATTACAATAGTGGTTATTTAATCAATAAATCAATTTACAACCAACCAACCAACTGCCGCTAAAGAAGTTTCACTTCATAAATTCAGAAATGTTCTTACCCCTTCAGTTACCCTAATTCTTATGTATCTGTCATTGTCTCCATTTTCGTCTTTATCTTCACTTTTGCCTTCTTTTTTCTGACTTCATCGTTATCATTTATTTCTTCATCTTCATATTTATCTTTATTTCAAAGCTTAATTTCAAATGTGTAGTGAAACTACAGGCGAAACATGTCAAATTGAACATGTTGCAGCAACATCTATACACAATTCGAAAATGTTTAATCGACGGTTTTGGGCGTAATTTTCAACCAATTGTGAAACCATAAAAACTCTGCTCATCTACGGAAAAATGCCTTTCCAATGGTGTTCTTGGTTTGGAAATCGGTTCGGTAGAATCGCCAAACGAACGGAGACAAAATTCATGTTAGCGTATTAATATATAGATAGTTGCTTAGAATCTCTACATTATACTAACTTGGTTTTGCGAACTTTTTAAACAAATATGATAAAAAAACAGGGTACACAACTTTTTGACCTTCGCTACTTAAGTGGAGGAATTACATATATCACAAAAAGTCGTATATCTCTATAATAATGATTTTCTCTGCAAGACTGGTATAATTGATATGAAAACCGCTCACGAAATTTCGTGGTTTTAGCTGCCTACATAACTTTAGCCTTACTTCGGTATAATCAGTTCAATGGGAGCTACAAGTTATAGTGCCCGATCCTACTCATTTTCACTAAAGGCCCTCTGTTTATGATAAGTGAAAATAGTGCAAAATTTCATAGGTGCCGAAAAATCTCATATCTGAAAAATCAGTTGTATGAGAGCTACAGTGGTCATTTTTCGGTTTCGAGAAATGGTTAATACATATAAAAAGACACCCACATATCATATTTCATTCGGATTTCTCGAAAACTAAAGGACTAGATGGTTAGCGTACTTTCAAACAGAGAGAAAGACGTCATGGCTAAATCCACTCAGCTCGTCGTTCGGATCATTTTGGTATACTTTTTAATGTGTCTGTCTCGTCTTTCGGTACATCGGACCACAGTTATAATTGCCGCCATCGATTCGCCAATAATTAGCGAGCAGTAAAACGAATGAAATCAATGAGGTGCATTCAAACTCGCCAACGTCCATTGCTGCCAGCTAACTTTCTTAATGCTTTAACATACAAAATCTTTCGTTAAGCAAGCAGAGAAATGGCGAACCGTAGCCGGTTAGTACTATTTCATGTTCATGAAAGGTATAAAAAGGTTTCGTAGTGAATGCGAGACCACAGAAGTAAGCTAACTTCTGCTGTGATTCTTATTCGCCAAGAACTTGGCGAAGTTGAGAAATGTGGTTGTTGTTTTTGGTGGTGTATCTACATACTTTGGTATGTACGTTTGTTTGTTTGTACATCCTTCCCGTATTTATGCCTGACTTTAGTACCGCTATAATTGTTATTGTTGCAACT